CAAACAACTAATAACACAAATAATACAACTATTCAAAGAAATATGGAAAGCGGAAGAAATGCCACTAAATTGGAGAAAAGCAGTAACACTGCCAATATATAAGAAAGGTGTCCCAGCAGACTGTGGAAACTATCGAGGTATAGCTTTGTTGGACGTTACATATAAGGTACTAGCCACGTTAATAAAAAGAAGAATAAAAGTAAAAGCAGAAAAAATTATCGGAGAATACCAATGTGGCTTTAGAAAAGGCAGCTCAACGACTGATCAAATCTTTATTTTAAAACAGGTACTTACATGTTGCTACGAATACGAAATACCGAGACATATTACGTTCATTGATTTTAAAAGCGCATATGATACAGTAAATCGACAAAAATTGGTAAATGCTTTAGAAGAACTAAAAATACCTCTTAGACTTGTGAAACTGACGAACATTACCCTGGAAAATACAATTGTGTAATAAAAGTAGGAGGTGGTAGAAACATTGCAGAATTGCAATTTTACAGAACATTGAATTCAATCAAATTTCTTGTCGGCGGATATGGGTTCACCAACTCGTAACACATTCCTCCTCCCGAATTCGAAAATTTAGAATTCTTAGAGCTAAATAATATTTAAAAATCATTTGTACCTTTTCCACTAATAAAAATTTTACTACCAATTTTTTTCTTATGTAGTTGTTTCTCTACCATGATTTACGAAATTTGTATTTAAAAAAATTAACTCTGGACCACCCTGTATAATACGTATTTAATAAAAATGGCATACCAATAATATGTTAAAGTATACGTAAATACCTGTTAACGTTGATGTAAATCTGGTATAACATAAGTAGGTAAATTAATCTTCGGGTAAATATCATAGACTTCTTCAACTTTAATTGGACTACAAACTATATAATAAGTGTATCTGTTCATTATAACAAACCTTCTTTTGCGAAAAAGGGAAATTTTCAAAGCATTGACACTATCTAAGTCTAAGATGACGAATTTCAAATACTATTTATAAATATGTGGGTAAAATACGAAATATGGGTTTTCCTAATCCGCCTTTAAAGCAATCCAAAAATCTGCTATGCATTATATTGTTTTGTAAGGTCGATATCTTCCCAAGAAAATCTTAAACCGATAAGGGTACATATAAACCTGAAATATTCCTTGTACACGTCTACCTGAACTACGAGAAAGTTATTATATGGCCACGTACTGTGAGAGTAACATACATACCATAAAGTAATTTACTGATGGTAATGCATATTTCGAGGAAATTATAACCTCAAGTAAATTGAAAATGTGAAATAACACCTTGGAATACAGGTAAAATGAATAAGGTGAAACTTACAGGCTAAGCGCAAATATGGTTTCTAAAACTATTTAAAAAAGAGGTCTAATATTTTTAAAATTATTTTGGAAAGAAATAAATAGTTAAGACAAACCGACAAAAATCAATTTTTTTATGTACAGGTGTTAACTTTTTGGTTTTACAAAAACATTAAAAGAAAAAAATACAAATTGCTTTTAAAAATAGTCGCCTTTAAATTTTTTTTACATTTTTGCATACATTCAAACCAATTCTAGAAACTTTTTTTTTATTCTGAAAATATTTCTTAAACATGTTTTAAAGGCTTCAACAGCTTCTTGGAGGGATGAAATTTTGGCAAAATTTTAATTTTTTAATAAATTTACTTTTTGAGATATCCTTGTCCGAAAATTGTATAGGGTGCTGTAATCGCCTTAAGAATGGGACATTGAACAACTGAATATTATTAGATTAAAAATAGGTCGATTTAATGAAAGATGCTTGGATAAAATGTTAATCGTTTTCCAATACAGGATGTGAAAATTCAAAAATTATTATTGGCTATAAATTTTGAATTACCCAGTATAATTACTAAATTCGACAGACGTCTTTGGTATTATAAGATACCCATGTCAGCAAAAAAAATCAACTTTTTCAGTGGACTATAATTTTAAATGTTTTGATGTGTTTTAAACAAATCACGTAGTCAAAAAAAAAATCAAAATTACAAAATTTAAAAATAAATTAAAATCAAGAGTGTCCACCTTTGAACCAAATAACCCAAAAACCAATCCCTTTATAAGTTCCCAACTAAAGTACATGATTTATTTAAAAAATATTATTTAAAAAAAAAAATTAAAGGACGAATAAGTTTTTTAGACAGTGGCGTAAAACTTGATGAAGGTTTTAGTTACCCATACCGTACGCTACTGGCAAAATTTGTTTAACAGTTTTTTTTGTTGCTGATAGAGGTATAACTATCTTAATACACCAAAAATTTTTGAAGAATTTAATAAAATTATTCTGAAAAATAAAAAAAAATATTTCCATTAATAATTATTGAATTTTCTACTTGTATTTCAGGAACGAGTAATATGTTATCTAAGCTTGTTTCGTTTAATCCTCTTATTTATAATCAGAGAATCATTAGTTGTTCCGAGTCCCATTCTTAATGGGACACCCTGTAGAAGACACATAGTTGGTTACAACTTTTTTTATTAAACAACTAGATAAGCTAATGTAATTTTTGAAAATATAAAGATAATTTAACTGAGTATTAATTAAATTAATTAAGTCAATAAATCCGTTTATTAATATTAATTAAAAAAAATGTAATTATTATAAACTAGAATGAAGATATATGCTATATTATACTCTTCACAGTTTAACAGACCCCCATTACCCCCATTCTTAATCAGATTTTTTCAAAATAAATAGGCTTCATCCTCTTATAGAGCCTGATTTTTATTAAAAAAAAATTATTGATATCGCTTTTCGTTTTTGATTTATTTTATCTTTAAAATCAACCCCCTTAATCCCCATTTTTATTTAGATTGTTTTAAAAATCGACAGACTTCGTCTCCTTATAAAGCTTATTTTTCTTGAAAATTTCAAATTGATGCCAGTTTTCGTTTTTGATTTATCGTGCAGACAAAAAACGTGGCATCGGACTGACAAACATTTTTAAAAGTTGCTTTAAATTTGATGAGCAGGGCCGACAAGACGGGGGTAGCCGGGACTAATTGCCGGGGCCCGGGCTCAAGTGGGGGCACGGCAGCTTTGTTGAGGACGTTTTTTAGTGTTCTTAGAAGTTCGGCTCAAGAGGGAAGACTTTTTTTTTAAGATTTCGCTAAAGAAAAATAGTTTTAGCTTGAAGACTTTTTTTTTAGAAATGTGATATTGAAAGGGCCTAATTTTTTATAAAATTGTCCGACCTGGAAAACTGGAAAATTATCCCGGGGCCCGACCTGGCTCTCGGAGACCCTATTGATGAGTAGAATTTTGATACAAACATTTTTAAATTTGTATCAATATTAAAAATGTTGCTATTTTGCTGTCTTGAAAGTTAACCTATAATAAATAATCTTCACAAACTACTGTGTGAAGAGTATAATAATGAAGTCTAAACAAATATGCATTAAATAGATCTCATTTTCTTATATAGAAATACCGAGTAAATAATTTTTACAACGATTAACACCAGCAGTGAAGTAATGTTGAAAAGAAAAATTGATAATTATACTGACAGTTTTGTATTAATTTTATATTACTCTTTCCATTTCATAAAAAAATATTCCCAATGAAAGAAAAAACAGGAAACAGTTTACAATAAAAAAAAAATTAAGTTTTCTTATTTACAACTTGTAACGTGTACCAGTTAAGTTCTGTTTTATCGCTACAAATTAAATACCCTACCGAAATAAATGTAGGCTTCCTTTATCAGATTCACACATCGCAATTTTATTACAATTTTTTACAACACATCTTGGCATTTAGAACGTTAATTTCCAAAATTTGTAGTGACGCCATAGAAAACTAACTATCGCGCTTCTTAAGACGTGACGTACAATTGTAACTGGTAACCAGTTACAATGTTACAGTTACAATCTCTTGAAGCGAGAGCTGTATCTGCGGTTCATATAATCTAAGATGAAAAGTGTACGTGTAATAATTCTATCTTTCTTCGTTCAATCTAATGGAACGCCTATCTTTCTCGGTATTCATCTCCACTTGAAACGCGGGCTTGCCAAATTTGTCAGTATATTGTAAATATTGTGTTGATAGTAATTTCTTTGCAGAGAATACTTTTATTTATTACTTCGACGACGGATTCGAAAGTTTTCTTTCTTCATCTAGTGGAATTATTTTTTAAATTAATGATTAACTACATTTAAATTGATTTTATTTATATTCTAAGATGAAATAGTAAAGGATTTTTATACCTATAATTAATGATCGTATTTTTTTGTAATATTATTGTTGTTATTATTACTAATATTCCATAATATACACTTGGTATCCGCGCGAAACGTTTGGATGGCTTTATTTATGGTATATTTAAAGTAAGAAACTGATTTTTGGAATGTGCTTTAATAAACAGTGGTACATAATATAAAATAATTGTTTTTTTTTGTAGTTTGTAGTGTAGTCGAAAAATTTTTTGTAACCATTTTTTCGTACGCATGTATATTTTATTTTATATACATGCTTTGTTTTAATTTCATAAAAAAATATAATGTATTGGTTTTATCTTTTCTTCGTTCACTGAAAGAAATTAAATACTTAAATAAAAAAAGAATTAATTACCTACTATTTTTAATGAAACATTTTATTTCACACAACAAAATGCAATCACAAAAAAAATAAATTACATCAATTTCTTCTTACAATTTCATTTATTAAATATTTTAAATAAAAGTCAATTTTGGTTCAGTACATAACCAAAAATTGTCATCTCTCTCAATTTTCTCAACGAACATTCCTAATGTGGTCCAAACTATAAAATAACAATATTTGGCTTTCTATATAGCCAATTTTCCTTGTACCTGATAATAATAATAATTTTAATTTAATTTGGTCATCTGTATTGGCTAGATATTTAATTTTTTTTTCATTAATTCCCATTTCTGCTGTCAATTTGGAACAAAAATATGGACATTTAATTACAATTATTTCATTATCATAATGCCGTCTGGTCTTGCTCCCAAGTATGGATGTTTTTCATAAATAAATCATTCACATTCTTGTACCGTTTTTCCATATTTATTTTTAAATCCTTATATCGAAATAGATTTATGATCTTGTCCCCATTTTGTAGCGACTGATCCGTAAAAAGATGAAAATAATGTTAATAACAGTCTTTTTTTCGTCATTTGTAAACGGTTCCAAAATTTGAAGCCATGAGCATATTACTACGATGTTCTTTCCACAGATCATTACTGGCCTGACCTCTAGTAGATACTTCAATTTTACTATTATCATCTATTGATTTTGGTAAACTGTCTAAAAATTGCAGTTTTTTTTTGTTCCAAAACATCGTCGTCATCATCATCGCATTGAAGTCCGTAGTCCCTATCTTTAGGTGCACCACTTTTGCGTTTTTTTAATTGAGGGTCCCTGGCTTTTCTACTACATCTACGTTTGCTCATTTGAGTAATCAATATTTGTGTGTGAATCCCAGGAACACTTTTTGACAGCGTTTTATAAAGAGTGGAATATAGTTATCTTTTTTATTAAAAGAATATTATATCCTCCTTTTACTGCAAAATTAATTCTCTTTACTCCAACAAATTTGGCTACGATTGAATTATATGTCTCTGCAGCATTATTAGTCATGTTTAATAATTAACTGTGGCTGTTTTGAACCAGCCTATTACCAGCAGATACAATGTCACCCATTAGTCCGCATTCTTCCGTTTCTGTCACATAATCTCTGTCGTTTTGTTCTCTTTTACAAAAATATTGTACACAGTTTGAATGATTTCTAAATGTGTGGTAAGAAGAGGTTTTAATGTCTGCAGTTAATTGCTTCACGTTGTCAACAATATCACTGGTATTTTTTCTGTGGTAATTTAGAGCCGATTTAATTCCCACTCGTAACTTCAATGTCCTATCACTCAAAAATTTTTTATTCCTAGACTTACTATTTTGTTTTTTCGCAAGATCACGCAAATTTGTTTAGTAATTCCTGATAAGATGGTAAGCAAATTTTTTGGTAGACACTGCGTCCTCCATCGCCAATAATTTTTACATATTTTAATTTGACCATTTTTATACTATTACGGAATCCTTCTAAAATTAGTTCAGATTCCATAAAAGTCGATGAACCATCCCAATTTTTTGAACATTTATGAGTTGCAGCTTTTATGTTTTTAGTTAAAGCTCGAGAACATGTAGGACAATACTTACTTTTAAAAGAAACATACAAAACTTTTTCAGTTTTCGCCCCAATAATGCAAGCCTGTAAAAAATAAGTGCATTTAAAAATAAACCCTTTATGTCATGTCAAATATATGACGACTACAGATAAGGAGACGAATCGGCATACTCAAAATACGGTCCCAAAAACGCATGCTAATTGAGCTTCTATAATTAACCGCATGGGCGCTGGTACTGCATACGGTGTTCAAAATACATGACTTCTTATGAGAATTATACATAATTATGTCAAAATAATAAAAATAAACTTGTTTATAGCTAAATAAAGCACAGAACATACTGTTGTATTTATTTATAAATAAGTCTTGAATGTTTTAATAGATAAATTATATAATTTTATCTATATAAAATACAAATTAGGTATGTATGACCAAATTCGAAAAGGTTTCTTAAATACTGAAATTTGAAGTACAATTTTGTGGCAATTTTTTTTTTTTAATTGAACCAATATGTAGTTTTAAGAGTAAAATAGAACACAGTTAACAGATTTTTTTATTGTTGTAATACAAGTATAGAGGGAGATTTGGGAATGTACATTGTATTACCTCATCCTTTAATTTCAGCTTTCCCTTTTTTATTTTGCTAACAGTAACATTAGTAAAAATTTATAATATTTGATAATATCTTCTAAAAAGTATAGAACAGCATCAACTCTAGAAAGTGCTTTATCGGCACTAGGAACGATATATATGCTGCCACTGTTCTAAGCGTTTAGTATCCAATTAAAAACATTTACAATGACAAAATTGGGGTAAAAAAAAATAACAGTAGCAACTCTTTATCTAACACTAAAACTGTATAAAAAATAAATTTTCTTTTAAATTTAATGCATAATTATTGTTATTTGTAAGTCAGCATCTATAACTGTAAAATTTTATATTATAGAAACTTGTAATAAAATAAACTACACTTCGTAAGATACATATTGTGACTATTTTACAATAAATATTATATTTAGACATGAATACATTATTTTACTTACATTGGAACTTTAAAAGACATTGAATTAATTTCTTCTTGTGTTTTCTTTACTTTTACATTTGATTTTTGCATGTTACTTGTACTTAGGTACTTTTTTCACATTATTTTGATTCTTTTCACCAATTTGTTAAAAAATCACATCATTTTACATTGAATTACATAGAAAATTGACTCCGCTGTCATTAGATATGCCAACTAAAGTCAATTTCGCGAACTTTATAAAAAGAAGGACGGAAATTTGAAGTTTGACCATTGCCGATTCGTCTTCTTCTCTCAAGTCAAGTTTTTATAGTCAAATATACAAATGTTTCTAAAGTAGACCATGGAAAAAACACGCATGACGGATTCTTCACAATTCTGTCGGTCATGGGTTACTTTAGAAACATTGTTTCTGTATCGCACGTTATAATACTAAAATATAAACTTACAACTCCAGATAAAGCGTTATAATTAACTTTATATGACCGCTTAGACCATGCGCAGTCAACAATCACTGCAATTAGACCATTTCCTTGTTCATCTACTTCTCTAATATCTTTTGATAATTGCAATTCTTCCAGTCCTGCTTGTTTCATGGCCTCCCTAGCTGCTTTAAAAATACTTTTACTTACCAATTCATTAGGAGCTGAGTATTATTGAAAAGACATTGTGGGGTGTTAGTACATTAGGATTTGAAATTAGCAAAATAATATAGGTTACTTTTATAACATTTAACAATTAAAAATTAATATAATCTGCTCTTAGGAATATTTTGAAAATTTTCCATTGTTTTCGACTCGAGATATTTGTCAAAATATTCATGAATTTCGATATAATTTTGAAATTAATCAAAAATCATATTCGCATATTAATCAAATTATTTTTTTTTTGTTTAGTAAAATATATAATAAAAATAGTCTAATCTTTTTTATTAACTGCACGACTTTTCTTTCATACTTAGATACACAACACAAAAAATATTAAATATATTATACTAAATTTTTACGATCAAAAGAGCGAGTTGGACCCTAGCCTAATCACTTTATATTTGCTAATCCAGGCTACCGTTGGTTACAGGTATATGATAAAGAGGAACATATTTTCACAAGTTCGAAATAAAAATATTATTGGAAAACGGTTTAATACAAAACTCAATTCGTTTTTGATTTTAGCAAAAACTTGTAAATAGAAAAAAAATTAAAAAAAATCAGCTTCAAACTCCAGTTTTCCAAAAATTGATATCTGCAAATTGATAAAATTTAATATTCATTTTTAATTTTTATTTAAAAAACTAGGGTGTAACAAAAAAATTAAAAGACTACAGATTATTAGGGTGTTTTTTTTTAATACTTCAGCAAAAAATTAAATTATACTGATGATAAATAACTAAGATACATGGATAATGCTAAAATAGTAAACCGCGAAAACAGCCTTAATACTGTATGGGTTTTAAAGAGTAGCCTACCAGAGTAATTATTTTGCTTGACATAGTCGACGAACAAACAGCCCGTTTTGAAGAACAAGTACTCTGAAACAGTTATTTTCTGCATACTACCCAAAACTGTACTGCATACCTTATATTAGATTCAATTAACCCAAAATATACATTATTTGCATTCTGCAATTATACTGGTAGCTAAATATGAATTAGAACAAATGAAAGTTTATAATAATTACTTTTTCCAAAAGTAAATCGGTAGTGCTGTCATGAATAACAAATTTATATGTTTAAACTATTTAATAGTAGTAGGTAGAGGTCAACATAATTAACACTATTTTGCCCTTTATGTCTCTATCGACACATCGATTTATAAAGCCCTCAAGGATATACATCCATTGAAATAAAAAAAAAAACACACACACACAATTTAAAGCGGTTCGATAGCAAAACGCAAAATATTAATAAATATAAACATCTTGAATGTCGACCACAAACACATGAAAAGAAATTATAAATCTAATTATAATAAATCTTATTCCGGGAGCCATTATTATATTATTTGTGAGTATCATTCCTTTCACTACTGTACCAAACCAATACCATACGATAAAGGTCATCGGAACTAGTTATTGTTTGAGATGTTTCTTCATTTTCCACAAATGCAAAACCATAATGCAGGTGCATTATAATAATTTGCACTTTGACCAGGCGAGGTGTTGGAAATTGCTTTTTGCTTCTGAATAATACAAGATTGATTGGTTTATAAATCGTATTAATTTATGATTGACTTAGAACATGATTATACAGAAATCGAAAAAAATAAGAAAATAAATAATAATTTCTCCTTAGGTGAATGTTTTTCTACTTCTGTTTTTACTATTCTGCATCAATTGAGAAATTTATAAGTGCATATTAAGACAGAAAGGTATGTTACACTTATTTATAATTTGTTTTAATAGGAGTTACAGTTTATATGGAGCAATACACTTTATAGTAAAAACAGTAACAGTTTTTTAAAAATAAACTTTTCACCCTTTACCCTATTTATATGTATAAGAAAAATATATTTTTCTTATAATATATTAGCGTAAACTGATATCCACAAATATAACACTAGAAATTGGGACGATATATCTGTACCTTGAAGCAACAAGGGCCAATCTCTAATTTGAATGAGAGTGACGTTTAAAGCTGTGCTGTTGGTATTATTTCTATAATTAGAAATAAAAGTATAATTATATATTTTACCTGAGGAATAGCAAATTTGTTATTGTATAAAACGAGTTTATACAATTTGCCTACTTTATTTGGTCGAGAATTACTTAGGTACATATTATTGTAAATAATTGTAATTTAAGTACATTTCTGTGTATGAATGACTACTTTTTGTAAATATACAAAATCTTTCTGTTACAACTATTATACACATGTCTAGTATTAACATAAATAAATCTACGATAATATTGCTAAATTGAAATAATAAAAACACAAATATGTTTATATTTTATTAAATAATTTGGAACATAGAAAACTAATAAAAATTGAAAAAATAGAAATCCATAAAAATGTACTCTTGAAAATACTAAAAAAATCATCACTTTGTTAAATATTTTATTATTTTTGGATCTGAAGTAAGTATATGGAGATAATACGATTTTTCATGAATAACTTGAGAAAAGGAGATATTTGCGCAATAAACGGGATAATTACACATGAACATAAAGTATTTTGCATTTTTTCTCCCACATTTGAAGTAAATAATGAGGTCGATAACAAGTTGAATTTGATAATGAATCTTTAGAGGCAATTTTAATTTGTGCATCTCCATTATTGTTAGGGCTTGTGTATATTTTTTTATTTGTAAATAAAATGTTTTTACTTCTTTTATCTTATTCAGGTACTTTTATTTTTTATTAATAGGTTAATAAATAAAATTTTCACTGATTACATTTGTGTTTATATACAATTATTATAATCCCTAAAATGTAATAAATTAATAAAAGAAAAACAATTAAACACTTTATTAAATTATTAGGTATTTAGTCTTACAAAATGAGTTCTTTTGCGTTAATAATACCAATAATTAACACAGAAATGTAAAAGGTTTATGTAAGGTACACTTTCCTTCTCATAAATATCATTGAGGATTTTAAAAACACTGTTGGGCAATCCTAAATATACCTTAGGTTTATTTTTAATTATTCTAAGAGTTCTTTGGTTTTGAAGATCATGCTCATTATTATTAAGTCCCTCTGAATCAGATATTAAAGATGTTTCTACTGATTCAGAAAAAAAATCACTATCTTTAAAACTTTCAGGAGGTTCCGAGGGCGGTGCTTGCAGAAGGGGTTTAGCATATACACTTTCGAACTTATAGTAGGCTCATTTTAAATTTCCCGAAGGGGGAAGGGGGCAATGTCAGAAATTGCTGCTACATCTTAAAGATTCGGTGTATTTTTATTAAATAGAGATGAAAAACGCCTCTAGTAGAAGGTTTTTTTGCCAGTCAACTTTTTAGAAGACATTTTTTTATGTTTTCTGTTTTTCTTTTTTGGTAGAATCTGTGGCTCTTGTGTGGTGAATAACAAGAGGTACTACCCACTTCTTATATGTAAAGGTTTATCATTTAAAAAATGAACAGTTTTCAAAATCATCTGGTACCTATCTAAAAAAAAAAAAAAAACATCGTTACTACAATGGTAGATAATTGAAATCTAATAAATTACAATTAAACATTTTCATTTTATTAAAGAGTATAGATATAAACCTCAAAATAATTTAGCTGTTGCTTGAAGCGTTTCTGTGTAATAATAAAATTAATAATTTTCTTCATTTCATATTTTTAGCAACCCTAATAAATATTTTTAATAATGAATGTAAAATGTAAATCATTATCACATCTTGAGAGGAAACATAATATTTATAAATACATCAAAATTAAATAATTATCGATTGACACAACACACAAATTCTTGACAGTGCTGTCGCATTGCCATTTTCTTGTTTATTAGTTTTTTAAAACAATGAAACTATAAATATGGTGAAAGTTTAAACGTAAATAATACTTTTAAAAACATTTGATATTTTATATTTAAAAGATATTTGTTTAACGATATTTTAGAAGTCTATAAGTAAGACGGTGCGCACAAACGAACGTATATTACTTTTCGTATACCGTCTAACTGGCAACGTTGTTTGGCTAGTTCCTATTGGTCTATTCCCGGTTACGTCATAAATTTAAAAAAGTTAATAACTCAGGCAAATGAATAGATAAGAAAAAATTTAAATGTAGCTTTATTTTGAACTGTATTATTCATAAAAAAAAATTCAAAATTATTGAACATGCCCCATTTAATAAAATTGAATCATTACAAATGATCTAAGAACATGCAGACTATTGTTTAGAAGCAAATTTCTACAACACCGCTTAGATAAGTTCCTAAAAAAAGACGTAAAAACAACGAATTTAAAAAAATATATATTTGATCCAGTTGCGTAAAAAATGGGGGGGGAAAAGTTGTCACTAATCATGTTGGTGCGCAACTGGTTAAATTTTTCAAAAGTTAGTTTACGTCAAAACATTATTTTCTTAATAAGCATATTGGTCATCAAATTTAAAACAAAAAACATATTTAAAGTTTTTATGTATGGCAAATTTTGAATCTTGATTTCAAACTTTTAACACCCTATATCTCAGTGACTAAGTCATTTAAGGGTTCATGTTCCTACATAAAAATCCTTCAATTAACGAGAATTATCTGTGGTATAGGGTTGATGATTAAATATAGTACCATCCTGTATATTGGAAAGGAATATTAAATGGAACCAAAAGAGATTAATGGATATGTGTGCGCAGCTTAGATCAGCAAAGTAAACTAGTATTTCTGTTATTTGAGATGGAATTGAGCATAGATGTCCTTGAAAATAAAAAATACCATTATTACAAGTGTGAAACACAAAAATCCTCTTATTTTATGTAAATTAGTTCAACAATGTATATTTAGTAAATCTAAAACGGTCCCTAAATTCGTTATTACTACATTCTTCTAGAGCAGTTACGCTCAACCAGCGGCCCACAGGCCGCATGCGGCCCTCCAAGCTTTTATTTGTGGCCCGAAACACTATTATTAACACCTTAAATGCGGCCGTATATATTAGTGCTTTTACGCTGACTGCGTTACATATCTCCAGTGATATGTAAGCTGAATTATTTTTGTGCGGTACAGATCCCCGGGGGTATGTAAGGAACCATTTTTTTAAAACCCTCCATAAACATACAGGGGTTTATTACTAGACTTTTCAACCATATAATTATGGCCTACATGAATCACTTTTTTTTAAATCGTCACAGGAGCAGGAACAATTCATAAATAAAGTTGGTATACGAACAAACATTTTAATTATATTTTTTAATAACAAGAAACATTTTATTTTAAATAGATATTTTTAGTCGTGATCATTATTGAAACATGTTAATATTCTGGCTGGCCTGGACAATCATGGCAGAAGCTTATGACACGCCGCTCTTTTTTGTCTGCTTCACGGCTGGTTGATCCAGTCTCTCTCAATTGTTTATAACAACCTCTACAGACCTTTATTTTTTTACAACCAGGTCCTTCGGGCTTTGTGAAGGTATGTGGACGTTTCTTTGGTGTACCAGGTCTGACAATTAATTCTGGTGTTTCACGTTGAGGTTTCATAAGTAGTTCAGCAAGCTGCTTCCTGAATTCTGCTATACCTAATTTTGTCGGTGCCAGCATATTATAAACAATCCAAGCATTTACTACACTGGTGCCAAGTATTACTTCGAATATTACTTTACTAAAAAAATACTTTATCAATATCATGACATTGCACACACAGCAGCTCTAAAACTTACCGATACCATTTGATGGTCTTACGAATGCTGCTATGGTAAGATGACATTTGGTCGCTATAGTCGACTCCTTTTTTGGATTTGTTGTAATCATTGACAGATTTTGGTTTTAAAATATACTCTCCTTGTCGATTCTTTTTGCCTAAATTAAAAAAAATAATTATTTTATGTATTCTGTTCAACATTAAATATTTTGGTATTACCTGTACTTATTAGAGATGCATCATGTGATGGATCACTGGAAATCATTAAAACCGGGCGTTTATCAACCCATTTGATAATTTTAACTATGTCATTCTGTTTTCCTATAATTTCATTTTTCTTCATTTTTTTTCCTTTCTTATTGTTGAAAATTGGTGGTATTCCTTTTCGGTTACTCCTCAGTGTTCCACAATAAAGCATCTTTAATTCATACAGTTGTCTTACCAAGTCTATGCTGGAATAAAAATTGTCTGCGTATAAGATTCTTCCTTCCAGATCGAGTATCTCCAAAAGTTTATGAGCAATCTTGAGCGAATGTCCTAAACTTTCTGACTGAGCTTCTTTTCCAGTGTAAACTTTAAGATTACACGTGTATCCACCTGGAGTGTGCAGTTTGTACAATTTAATCCCATATTTGTGGGGTTTCTTAGGAAGATATTGTCTAAATATAACTCTTCCTCTGAAAGAAACCATACTTTCATCAATTACAACTACTCTTCCAGGTTGCAGAGTGGATTGAAAATTGTTTATTATAATAGAAAGTATATTTTCTATTTTTGAAAGTCTGTTGTCAGGATCAGCCGTTTCATTATTAGAGAAATGTATAAATTTTAATAATAGGATAAATCGATCACGCGACATACGTGAAGATATGAATTGGTTATGAAACATAGGATCTTTGGACCAATATAAATTCAGAGCAGGTACTGATGTTAGACCCATGGCAAGTAAAATTCCAAAAAACTTACGTATTTCATCTCTATTTGTATTATTCCATGATTTCATTCTCGATTTATTTTTATGACCTACATTTATTTGCTGCAGAGCATATATATTTTTTTCAGTTACAATAATGTAAATCATTAGTAACGAAAAACTGGAAAATATCTATTGGATGTTTTACCTCTTTTGCGTATATGTGCGGTGCTAAGGTACAATCTTCGGGGATTAAATCAAACTCACATTCGCCTGCTTTGATTGGTCCCCATTCATTTTGATCAACATTAGATATCTCTTGATTTTCCAACACTGTACCTTCTATTTCTTCTTGACTATCCACATCTTCAGCACTTTCTACTTCACTGTCTGCCTCTGATTCAGATTCATAATCTGTAGAAGATGGTGCATATGTTCTATCATGCAAAGAATCATCACTAAATGGTTCAGAAATCTCGTCTGATATATTACTCTTTGTTTGCGAATTTTTCGAATTTGTACAATTGTTTTCTTTATTTGCCAGGCCGTCTGTGTTATTTTCAATATTATTTCTTGATTGTACTAATCCCAATATTCGGTTTGTACGATTCGACATCGACATTTTATCTGATAAACTCCGTAAAAACACAACCTTACTAGACAACCCAACGCGGAGTACTAAATGAAGCGATATTACCCCTTCTTGTCCCGACTTGTCGGCAGCCGCTAAATTCATTTGTATCTACTGCACCAAATAGTCAGAAACTATACATATCCCCGGGGATATGTATCGCACATAAGAAATATAGCATTAGTTGTGTGCGATACATATCCCCGGAGGTATGTACTGCAACACGCATCATGTTATATGTAGCGCCTTGGAAGCACTACATACTAACTCCAACTCATAATATACTAATACATGTCACACACATGCCACACATATCAATATTACCTTTTAAGGCAGCTTAGTGGGAGGCAGGATTTAAGTGCACCCTATCTATCTACTTGACGACCTCGGTTGCCAAGCATTAATATTTATTAAATAAGAAAAATGTCATATATATAATTTTCTGTCATGACGGAATTGTCTATTTCATTATATTAATATATACCCTTTTACAAACCGCTATATTATTTATAAGATGGGATCCACAAGGTTAAAAGATCCCATATTATATTCGACAATCAAAAAGATTAAGAATCCTACAAAAACCGTTAAATATCTTGAAAATTGTAAGTTTTACAGCCTCCGCAATTTGGGAAAGTTTCATGTTTTTTATGCCGTTGGTTGTTAATAAACGTTACATATCCCCGGAGATATGTATCGCAGTTAAGGTGTTAAGAACGTACTTTTTAAAACTATTGGTTTCTGTTTTTGAAATCTTAAGCGAAACGCGCGAAAAAACATTCATTAGTCGCTGCGCTAAATACCACGCTAATTTTTAAATAAAAGTTTGGATCATGGTATTACTACAAAAACAAGATAGCTCCACTTTCGGCATTTTAGACTTTAAGTACACTATAGTTCCGATAATATACGGCATAAACAAGACAAGTGTGAAGGAAGTCTATATTCATAATAAACAGATGGGCAATAAAAACTTCATATTAATACATTCACAATATGCACAAACAAGATGAGTGGCATTTACACCGAAATATAATCATAACATTATATTCAATTGCTAATAGTTTGTCTACCAAAACCATATAAGAAACAAAGCTTATTTTTGCTAAATGTTTTTAGTCCTATTCCTAATAGTGTTTTTGCCAAAACAAGATAAAGGCCAGAACACTTATTTTGTTGGAAGTATTTGTTGAAATACTTTAACATTTTGCCCAAGCCATTGATCCGAAATTGACAAGGTCATTACGTCACCCGTTAAAACGACAAGAAGCACTTCTTAAATCACCGAAGCAACACTCAAACTTTAGCTTTTCGCATTTCTTGAAAAACCCAAGCCTTACCGACAGAGGGAGAAAGGGTAAAAAACTCTGAAAATACTTACAAAAAAGTGCAATTCGTATTACAAAGTAGAAAGATTTACTAAAACTTTGCAAATCAGTTGCTACACCTGATGAATTTCACCATTATTATCTAATAATGTTAAAGACACAGTTTCTGAACCTTCCACAAAAGCTAGTATCACAGACATTGAATATTATGACCTGCACAGTGCACATGGATTCTTGTGTGCCAACTCGACACGATACGATACGTATCGAATAGAGAGAGACACATTACATAAGAATTACAGTCTGTCGAATGAAGATAGACATCTCGATACATGCCGAATCGAAAGATGACTTACTGTTGTATGTAGATAGCTAAAATAAGCTAAGCGACGTTTTTTTCTCTTTTTGTGTTTCCAATCGGTATATTCTTAGATTCTATTTTGTAAAGATTAATTATGGAGTTATTGTTTATTAAACAGATTGAAGCTATGATTTTTTATTCAACCTTAAACTTTTGAACAGCGTTTTCTCGAAACTGTGAGTTATCTTGTTTTTGCAGTAACCCGACGGGATATATTTACATTCTGTATTTTTTTTAGTGGTTCCAACTAATTTTAATTGGATGGCCTAAATAAAGGGTAATCATCCAAAAATATTGCGGCCCGTGTAATATAGCAAACATACGTGGCCCGAAGGAAAAAAAAAAGGTTGAGTATGGCTGTTCTAAAGGGTAATTTCTAACGCAAAAATGGCGGACAATGTCTATAGTTTCTAATATTACCTCTTTAAAAGAATCTGAGGAGCTTAAGTAATACATCTTAAACTTATTTAATCTTTTTCTGATAATTAAGAAACAATAATAATATATTTTATTTCTAAAAAATGTCAAATTATGATCTGCTAACTGGCATGTGTCAGACTTATGGAATATATATCCCACCAAAATGGCAAGTTACCTATTCGATAACTTATAGAACGGATAACTTTTTTTGTACGTTTCAGAAACCACATTTCTCTAGTTATCCCTTTGTTATAAGTCTATTGAACAATTATCTACTGCTTCAGAAACCGACCATAAATGGAATACTAAATGTTGTAATGGAAAATAAAAATAAGATACAGAAAAAAGGTAAACGGTAGTTTTATTACAAAAATTAAAAATGGAGACGCAGAGACAGAGCGGAGCAGAACATACATTAGAGCGTGAGCACAATAAGCAAAACAAACAGCAGTCACAGATTAAGAGCAGCCGGATCGGAACAAATAGAGGTAGAAGGAATAATAAGCAAGGTATAAGAAGGGGCCAGATCACACGGAAACACAGCAAACCCAATAACAGAAAAAGAAGAAACGGAAGACAAAAAAGATATTTAAATTTAGTTTCGTTTATTTCCTAATATAAAAATTTTCATTCGACCCACCTTAAATTGAGATTTGTTTATGGTAGAAAGTTATGAAATTTATGAGGTTTATAAATCAGTAGATAAGGTAAAAATACGCCATCGAAATGTGTTACTTGATAAAAGCCAAAAATTAAGTAGTAATTAGCAGTTCTATTTAAATTATTGCAACTTAATTGCCTCTAGATTTAAATTTTTAAAAACTGATACTATAAATTCTAAAAAAAATCGTCACCGAAATAGTTTTAGTGAATTGTGACCGCCTGTCTAATCTCCGTAGCATAGCGAAGCAGAAGTAAAAGAACAAAGCCTTTGATTCAACTCATTTCAATCCTTTTCCTGCTAGAAGTACAGTTTTAAATTTAAATTCCGATTAAAGAATTTCCAGATTTTTGAGTAAGAACACAGCCAGACACAAAAGAGGAAACGGTAAATAAAATAATTGTTAATCTATTTCATCAAAACATCAACCGACATCTGCGGGATATATCTCTTGATGTAAATTATGATACCTGGCCATATGTAGCGACGACGAGTTCAATGAGATTTTTTCAAAGTTTACAGAAAACTCAATGAGGCGCATGTGGTGTTGTGATGCGATTTTGTATTTATTGTGGGATAATAGTGCTTATTCATCGAAGATGATGCACTTGGTGGAATGCATATCATCGATTATAGTCCCTCTGCTTCGATGTAATTGATATTATGTATGCTCAGTGTAATTAGGAAGCAAGTATACAGGGTGTTGCGATATTCTACCGACAATAATATACCTGAAACTTGTGTGGCTAAGAACGATTGGGATGTCATGCAATAACCTCCATATTAACCACATTAGATATTTCATTAGTAGTGCGCACAAGACGAGAAGAGACGAGATTTTGCAAATCTCGTACTCGATCTCGTAAAATCTCGAACTCCAAATCTCGATCTCGACTTTTAGAGAATCTCGACTGGGAAATCTCGATTGGGCAATCTCGATTGGGCAATCTCGATTGGGCAATCTCGATTGGGCAATCTCGATTGGGCAATCTCGATCTCGAATCTTGCCGAGATCATTAAAATATATTACTCTTAGAAAATAAAAAAAAACTATCCTTTTAAATACTAGTAGATACTTTAGAATATCCATTAACATTATAAAAATAAATATTCATAAATTTTATCGAATCATAAAAAAAATATTAATTTTCTTAAATAATTTAAATTACAAATATTATAACTTTAAGGTAAACCAAGAATTGAGGCATATTAGAAACCTGGCCGAATCAGCTGTTACTGGCTTCGATGATTTTTTATGATGAGGCCAGCTTTTGAGAACAGATTCTCGACAGGGACTGATGTGACGAGAGTTTTTTAAGATCTCGTTCTAGCCGAGATCTCAAAGATCAGATATCGACTCTTGATCTCGACTTGTTATGCAGATCTTGATCTCAGATCTCGTCTCGATTTCGAGACGATACCGAGACGAGATCGAGATTTTTATCGTTTTGTGCACACCACTAGATTTCATTAATTTCAAGAGAGTGGTTCAATATTAAGGGTATTTGGAACTGATGAATAACATTGGAAAGGTTAAAAGTAGCTTAAGAAATAATGGATATGTCGTAGGCAGATTTAAAAATCCGTCATATTATCATACATCTAGGCGTATGATTAAACGTCAGACATATCATCAAACAGTCGAAATTATTTAAACTTCGAACCATACGCCTAGTCATAATATTTCGCCTATCAAGTTTTTCGACTTATCCTCAGACGGATGTAGGTATGCGTTCGTCACACAGTATGGCGTGAAATTTATTTGCAAAAATATTAATTGTTTATAATACGAACACTTTATTAAGAATTCTTATAAACATAAAACCATTAAGCTAGATACAACAAATATACAGGGTATATAATGTTATTATTTATTTAAACATGGCCTGCTATTGTGACATCTACTATTACATTTTAGCTGCACCTTGAAACAAAAGCAGCGTTTTGTGATACAAATGAGTGTTACTGCGTTTGCAGGAACACTTTTTAAATCCTTGACCTCGAAAGAGAGATGATTTTGTAACGGCGTCTCTTAATGTAATGTCAACGTCTGGAACATGAATTAACTGAGTTGTTGAGGTCTGTAAAATTTCATTTCTTTGACACAATCTTTTAATTCTTCCATTGGAAGGCCCTATTTGGTAAATACAATATTTAACCCTCAAAATGGTTCCTATTATGTTTTTAGTATCCAGGGGACCGTGATCCACTTTTGTAATAG